TTCCCTCGCAAATCCGTCGCAGATCCGTCGCTAAGTACATCCCTCGCTGATCCGTCGCTGAAAGTGTCCGTCGCAAATCCGTCGCTGATTTCAGACGCTGATCCGTCGCTGATAGCATTACCTACGACTGTTTGACCGACGGAGTATCAGCAACGGATCAGCGACGGACGGAGCTTTCAGCGACGGATCAGCGAGGGAATTTTCCCTCGCTGATACCCAGCATTTTTGTAGTGGATGCCTTGTGCGGCCGCACGGGCTGCACATGGCCAGGGCCGGCCTTGCTTGTACAAGTCAGAGCTCGTTACAAAAACAATTGTTCCATCCTTTAGGAGGAGGACAAGTCTATGTACATTTCACTCCTAGACCCTTCGTTAGAGTGAGATATACTGTGTTCGGTTGGTTTAACTTGATACATTAATTAATTAAAATCTTTAAAGAATAGTCAAAAAAATGTTGATGAATCAACGCACCCATTCGAACCATTTTGACATAAACCCAACATGTTCAAGAAAAGGTCTTCATAAAATTGGAATGAAGCCACAAGACAAATAGCCATGGATACACTTTCTTCCAAAATCACTCTATATTTACTACAAAGTGTGTACTGTACAGATCTAACGTACAAGCCTCAAACATAGGAGATACATATGCAAAGTATTATCAAGTATTATGTATAGCTATATATATTATCTAAATGGAATTCAATTCCCCATATATGGATTACCACTAAATGGAGATTCAGTTTGCAACTGCCATTCTCTCTCTTTCAAGTGCTGCAAAAGTGGTGGCTGTTCTGCTCTTACCCCACTACCACCACCACCACCACCACCACCACCATATACCAAATTTGGATTCTCAAAATACACCATCCTGTTCGTAAGCAACGGGTTCCCCCACCTATCGATAACATCAAATCTTGAACCACCATCATATCCATGAATTTTTCCAAGATTTCCTGAAGGGTTAGTTGGCAAAATTGGCCAATGATGATTACCATTGCTTGGCTCAAGACTCAGGTTGTGAGTATACCGGTAAAGCCATTCAGCTGAACTTAATCCAAACACTGGTGGACGGTATGCATCAACAAAGCCAGCCACTCCAGAACTAAGATCCAACGGTTCTTGTGGTGAATGGAAATTTGTGGAACTGCTGACTGGCGGTGCACCCTCTTTTGATGAACTTCCAGTGAGCCAAACTGGATCTTCAGGCAACAACGGGGCTGATGGAATAGGAGCAACATATGGCTCATCATTTGTAGCTACGGCTATTTCTGAGATAGGAGCCAACTCTTTCTTGTTGGGATTTCCGGAACCTCTTTCTCTTTCAAGACTTACACTTTCTCTGTTAAGGACCCAAGCACTAAGGGAAGGAGGTCCAGCAGAATATGGAGGACTCTTTTTTGATGAATCATGAGACCCATTTTGTGCAGCAAATAGTGATGCAGAACGGCGCAAACCTTCATCAGAAGTTTCTGTTTGGTCGTCAACTGGTTCATCGTTTGAGGTTTGAATCGGTTCTGAGTTGTATCTAGTAAGAGGCTTAAAGAGAATCACCTCCTCTTCTTCCATGGCCTCCAGAATATCTCTCTCGTTTTTCTTTGGCAACTTTTCAGGATCCTTACCTGAACAGAACTTTCTTGCTGATTGATTATATATTATCGGACTTTGTGAAGAACCCTTCAATCTATCAGCTATTTTCATGGATGCATGAAGAATGCGAGTAATTCGAACAGAATTTCCAGCTTCAAATTTGCGTCTGTTCTCAGTATGAGTAGAGAAATCGAACAAGTCATTTGACTGGGATACAGGTCCAAATCCCATTAGCTCATAGTCTTCCCACAAAGCGGTTTGATTTGCAGAATTAAGCGAATGGTGTTCCTTAACATCGAATCCACTCAAAAGATCAACCAACGCACCAAAGAAATACGATTTAGCATTAGACACCTTCTCATCTTTACCATAAGTTTCTGCAAAATCAAGCATGCCAACATACCACTCTACAAACACAAGCACAGAAGGCAACAGTGAGCAGCAATTTACTTGATCGTTGCTGGTGAGACACCTCTGGATAAGATGGCCCAAGAAAGAAAATGTGCAAGTCCATGCCCATGAAGTACATGTAGAAAGCTGTTCATCTTTTTTTCCTTTCAGTTCCATCAGTTCTGGGGTTTTAATCAGATTCTGTATTACAAAGATGAGGATTGCGACAGCTTGAAGGGATCGATAAGGTCCTCTTCTTGATGAATCAAATTGCTCATATGGTTCTAAGGATGAATTCAGTTCTGCATCGTTTAGTGCCAACAGTGCTTCTAACTCTTTCATTGTAGATGCGAAAGTGTGAGGTAAGTCCTCAAAGCTGCATAGCAGTTAACAAGTTTACAATTAATCAAGCATCATTAGGACTACTCTGCAATTCAAGTTCATGCCAGTTGAAGAACTTGAGTAAAACGACTTTGAAGTGCAAATATTTTTCTTATTGAGGTGCTGTTTGGAAACCATAAACTAGCTTATTTTTTAGCTTATTGAAGAAAACCTCGTTTGGTAAGCCATAAGCTAGTCTTTTTTGAAGTTACTTCAAATAGAGTTTCAATAAGCTTGCTTTTTAAGACTTTTTATGCCCCTTATATATTACATAAATGGCCAAAAACCCTAAAACTATGCTTGGCATCATGGCATGGGCTTTTTAACACCATTAATGAAAATGTAGTTCCCTTTAGGTGTTTTTATAATCCCGGTTGTCCATGCCAGATTGTGTGCACCTTGACTAATCTCATGAGGCCTTGAAGTTAAAAACCGGAAAAATAGTGGCCTTGAGGGGACTCGAACCGGTGACCAAGTTGTCACCGCAGCCACTGCCACCTCATTGTCTTCACCTTGATGTTGGCACCACCATCACAGTTGCCTTGGTCGTTGATTAAAGTCAAGATTTTTTGTTAGCTATATAGATTTTGTTTAGGGTTTTTGGGTAATTACACATCAAGGGAATCAATGGAAATGATGTTAGCAGGTTTTGAAACATCTGCATAGGTTTCCTTCACAGCCTCCATCAAGATGAGCACTAGTCGGTATGTCGAAATGTTGATGAGTGCAAGACGACGAAGATAGGGTTCTTTATTTTGATTTGACTTAGTTCTCTGATTTTGGTTTTTTATTTTGATTCCAGTTTTTTATGGATGTTTTTGGTTTTATTTCTTTGATGAACGACAATGATGTGTAATGTGTTCTTTGTTATGGATCAAGACAATTGAAGTTGTTATGGATTTGTTATTGTTTATCGATTTATTATTATTTCGGGTTTGTGTTAATTGTATTATTCATGGATTTTTGTCCTTTGGACAGCTAATGAAGATGGACAAATATGGTGAATTTCTACAATTTCAATGTATCATCCCTGATACCCTTCACTTAACAGTTATTTCCCTAACCATAACAGAGGTCACTGGTCAGGAACCAGTATGAAAAAATAGTCATTTGAGGGATCAAAGAAATAAAACTATTGGTCAAGGGATCAAAGGCTTTTTTTTGAAGTATATAATAATTATATACGGCACATGCAACAAATAAACTCACACACCCTCCTCACCTTTGGTGAGGTTTGAACCCCTGACCTCCGAGGAGGCCAAGGACTAGGATACAGCTAGGTCAGGGGATCAAAGTTGCAGGTTGATTAAAACTCAAGGGACCAAAAGCGTAATTCACTCGAAATTCTTTTTGCTTACTACATAGATGAGACAATTAATTAGTTAATTAAGGTGAGTTCTGATATAAACTGATTCCTAATTCTTCTTATTTGTAGGTGTGGGAGACGGAATTATAACCCCAAAAATGATATATAACTACCATCACAAGTATCAATCATTTACACCCTTAAAATAGGCAAGAAGGAAGGGTAGAAGGATATCTTAAGAAAGAACCAACTCGCCTAAACACCACCAACCAATGTTCACCACAAAAAAAACACAAATAAATGTTAAGTTAAAAGAAAAGAAGGTGAAGAAAAAAGCCTTAACACCACCCATCTCTCCTTCCATATTTGTCTCCTCTCTCAACCCCCACATTTCTGTAATGGAATCTGTTTCAGGCTTCTGATGCCATGAGCCTACGGTTAGGTCAATTCCTTCTCCTCTTCTTACACCTCCTACAAGCAATGGCCATGGTGGAGGCATTTTCAGCATTCAACTATGTCAACTGGGAAAACATGGTTGGTTATGGCCTCAAAGAATCTCCTCCTTCAGAAGGCAACACTAATTGTAATGGTAAAGTTGGTGAATGTATAGATGAATCAGAGGAGATGATGATGGATTCTGAGGCTAGCCAACACACATTATCTACCGGCCAAAAGTTTGATGGCTATAGAGCTTACCAGAAAGACCATGTACCGTGTAATCAACCAGGAAAATCCTACTATTCATGTATGAAAGAAAGCAATAAATTTTCACAACGAAGGTGATTGATTCTATGATAAAGTTACACAATCATTCATAGCGAATGACACGTTGTTCAGGACATGAAATTTTATTCTTATATATTGATGGCTTATGATGAAAGTTTATTGGTGTTTCTTATGGCCAAGTGCTAGCCCTAATATGCAAAAACTTCTTACAAATTTTAACATTTATATAGAGAAGGGTATGCAAGAAAAGGCTGTGTACCTGGGTTTAACCACAAAGAAACTTATCATCCTCACGAAAAGAGGCCATACATCAGTTTTTGCAGGGAGAACATGGTCATTTGCTCCTAACTTGTTGATGTTTGTGGAATCCATGCTTGAGTGCGACTTAATCTGTGACGAAAGCCTTTTCAATGGCTTTGAGAAATCAATGTGGGCGTCGGTAGAAAGTGATTGCAATTGAGATGATTTGTTCTGCACAATAATATAAAAAGCAGGATAATCGCTTAGATTAAGTGTAGAGCATATTGACCTCACAGTACTCCGAAAACACACAAAGGTGTAATATACGAGTCTTGTTTGTTTGCATTTCTTAATAGAATGAGAGGAAGAGAGTAACAGATGAAAACTGAAATATTAACTTGTTACCTTCTCAAATAGTAACATAATGTTGTCTAGTGCATCTGGAAAAGGCTCTTTGACAGCCAAACTTCTTATACAATGGTATAACGCAAGGAAATCATCGCCAATATATGTTGCCAATAGTGCCAACTGCAAAATAGCTCGGAAAATTACAGTTCCCGTTGTTCATATAATGCTTCTTCAAACCACGATACTTTTCTACTAATTTGAAAAACAAACTCAGTATCAGAAACCCAATACAGCTATGGATTTCAAACACAAAAACGTACAAGCACTCAAGGAGTGAAACACAAATACCTGGTTTTGGGGGTTTCCACTTTGGGGCCAAACTGTTGTTGCTTCTAAGTAGTATGTAGCTGCAACAGCCCATTTTTGAACATCGGGTTTTCTACAGAGCTCCATATATCTTGAAAGATCACCTAAGCAAACCAAAAAGCGATGGCATGCATAATGGCATTTTTGCAAGATTGCAGGTTCAACAGAAACGGAACCTCCACTCTTTTTAAACAAGAACATTTCCTCGGAGAGGCCACAAGTTCTTCGGAATTTTGCAATTAGATCCTTGTAGAACTCAGCAACTTCAGAGAGAAACAACTTGAATCCTTCCACCTGACTATTAAGGTTTGTGCTTTCTGCACTAGTCGACACTTTCTTAATTTTCTTTCGGTACTCGTCTATATGCTTGTAGTGAAGCTTCCACAAAGAATATTCAACCTCTTGAAGATCAACTGCTTGATAATCATTAAGGATGATTTTCTCATAACCGGAGCGCACCTTACGGTACAGATCTTTAACCTCTGCGTGTGATATACCTTTATATTGAATCGTTGCCCACAATAGCTTTTCAGCATTGACAACCTGAGGAGAAAAATTTAAAGAAGGAAAAAGATAAGAGAAAGAAAGGTAAAAGAACTTGTCTAGATAAGGAAATTATCCTTTCAAAAATGCCTCAATACAATTTCAGCATTACAGTTGAGTCTAGCGATTCACCTCAAGAAATGAAGTCTGTTTATCCCGCAGATCTCTAAGTGTTGCAGGTGGATTTCCGATCATGATTATTCTGGTAAAAGTTTTTCACTTGTACAAGATGCTTGAAGATCAACCCTATAGTTTAGACACAGATAATTCACCGTAAGCACCTTCCTTTGTAATAAAAATCATGTATCGAAGTTTTAAGAGTCGATGCATTCAGAGATCACTCACATTGTCGTGAAGTATCCATTTATCAAACACTAAGCTTTAAAATTTTCCACCAAAACTTACAGTCACACCAGGGTTCGTATAAGTTTATCTTTTTCTAATAAGATGGTCATATGGAAATCAAACTTTGATTACTGAGAATGCATGCCACATAGCACGAAGAACAAGCTCAAATTTCGACATAGAAGTTAATGTTTGAAGCTGGATCTAAAAAAAAATTACCAGTATTTCGCAAAATAGTTGATTTACTGAATTTATCATGTGCAAATTTCCAATCTTCTTGTAAGATGAACCAAAGAAGCGAAATATCCGAAATATGCTATTCAGTTAGATTGAGATTTTATGTTTTAGCTTGTGAAATAAATTGATTCTGTTGAAGTGTGGTTGAACAAAGAACATTACCCAGCACAGTTTCAGCCCAAAATGGATGTAGTGAACTGTTGTTTGAGCATAATCTCTGAAGAAAAATAAGTATATAAGTTTATACAAGTGCATAAACATGTATGAATAAAGAATACCCATGACTTCCATAAGATGCTCAGGAAAACTTCAAAAGACCAGTGTTGTGGGCTTGTATCATAAATCCACTTTCGAGTTTCGGAAACTACCGAGGATTAAGGATGCATGGGATTGTGAGATAGAAATTTGAGAACTTGTGTCATCTTACACCAACTGGGGATAGTCTTTTGGATCAAAAAAGTGTGCCACAAAAGTGGACTCGAATTGGGGAAAGGATGGAATACTAATCAACTTTATTCATATGAATTTCACCTATTTCATTTCATAGACACAATCATCGTTTACAAATGCAAAAAAGAGAAGATACTGAGAGCTAAAGCCTCATCATCAGAACAGATATCTTAAGCAAACACTAAACTAATTACTCCTAGTCTCAGTAGTACCACAATTCTCTAATTGATCGAGTCGGTCAGTCAATATATCAAACACTTGAAGTACATAATCCAACACAGAGTGATTATGCAAAATTAACAAGAAATTATTACATAAAAACGAAAACCCATGAGGAAGAACACTGGAGATGATCAATAACAGTTTCCATGACTAGAAAAATCAAAAAAGAAAAAAAAGTCAAAATTTTGTCTGTAAAGAGCACGTTACCTGAAGAAAATTCTGCACGTCTCCTACAAAAATCAGATGAACAACTCAAATTAACAAAAAAAACTAAATTTTATCAACCAAAAGAAAAAACCCACAAGAACACACAGAATTATCGGGAGGATTAAGAAGAAGACGAAACGAATTGGGTAAAACTGTTTTGATGATATTGGTGCGTCTTGAGTTGTAGACAATGAATCTTTCTTCTGCTGATGATTTACCCAGAAAGAAAGGTAGCCGGGTCTAGTGTGATGATCTACACTAAATGACGATTATGCCCCTCCCCCTTTGCTTCTATCTCTAATTATATGCGTTTTAAATATCTTTGACAAAATGGCCTCATCTCATTTTTTAAGATTCAGATCATGTTTATCTATACTATATTATAAAGTATTTGTTAAAAACCATTTTATGTACAAAATATTATTCATTAATACATATTATTTAAAATTCATATTTTATAAGTAAAGTATGCATATATAAAACTTATTAAAGTTTATTGTTTGAATTCATATAACTAACTGCAGATAAACATAATTAAATACTGAATATGTATCTCATTTTAAACATAAAAAAATCTAAAATATATTTAGGATAATCATTGAATTCTAACAAGATACTAATTATTATCATTATAAAAAAAATTGTATTATCAAAACAAAAATGAATTATTTTATTATTAAACTCAATTAAATTATAATAAAAAATTAAACTAAAGAAATTACTCAAAAGAAAACAAGCACTTTAAATATCTAATTTGATATTAAAATCGATACATTTTTTTTAAAATTTTATGATATTTTCAAGTTTATATTTTATTCCAAAAATAAAAAAACATTATCGTTTTTCTAGTACCCCATAAAAATTATAACATCGACAGAAACAAAATAAAATTAAACATTAAAATTTAGATGTATTTCGCTGCATTACGCGAGAACCCTTGTAGTTATTCATAAATTATTTTACCTTTCCACTTTATTAAAAGAAAAGAATTAATTAGTTTTTTGAAAAATTATTTTTCCATAACATTTTAATAAACTCTTAAGAGCATTTTTATGTCTTCATAAGTTTTTAAATTAGTAATATATTGATGTTAAAATACAAAAAATAACGTATTTTGTCTAATATCTCTCTCTCTATATATATATAATTGATGTTAAATACGTGAACCAATCTTATCACTTAATCCTTAAAATCTATGTATTAAATCATGATATATTTATAATAAATGAAAATTTGAACAGAAATAGACATTGATGAGCATTCTGGAATATTTCTGGAAAAGATCATGACATATGAACGCCTATGAACACAATCTTATGAATGTTTTATGGTTATGAACACATTCTTATAATTACATATGAACACATTCTTTTGAATATCTTATAGTTATGAACAAATTCTTATGAACACCTATGAACATCATTAAATACCATAAAATAACTTGGACGTAAAAAAATGTAATATCTCATAAATACCATAAAGATAACTTACAGATAAATATTACCTATTTGCCCTTCATTAAATCAAATATTTAAAGTAATCTCTACAAAAGAATGAATCTTATTGGTTCAATAAGTTCACAAAGTTAACACCATATTTTTTGTTAACAAAAGATCTTAACTCTTATATATATATATATATATATATATATATATAGAGAGAGAGAGAGAGAGAGAAGAATGTTCAAACAAGAATACTAACTATTTAAGAAAACAAGTAAAATGTTGTTAATGTACAAAGTCACATTTGGTTTTACGTTAACGTCAAAAAAATGAAGTGGATGACTTTTGCCGCGACTTAAGTCGCAAATAAAGTCACGTCAAATCATGTATGATTTTGTACGTGAATCATATATGATTTTATACATTAACGACATTTGTCTTAATTTCTTAAATAGTTAATGTTCTCGTTTGAATCCATATATATATATATATATATAGAGAGAGAGAGAGAGAGAGAGAGGGGTTGGTTATTATACAACCTTTGACATTTGTGCAACCAATACAACTCAATCTCAATCGTCCATTTCATTTGATTAATATGTGATTTCATAGAAGTTTTGATTGTTTCCTGATATAAAGTATTGATCATAATTAATGAACCATATTCATCTTCTATAAATATTCAAATCATAATAAATGAACTTTCATCATTTCCATAAATATCTCAATTTATTGGGTTGCATTGGTTGTACAAATTCGATGGGTTATATTTGAAACAAACTCTCTCTCTCTCTCTCTCTATATATATATATATATATATATATAATACATATATAATACATATATATACATAGGGGAACGATCAAATGAAAACCACTCAATTTGTAAAAACCGTAAAAACCTCATTCCAACAATCATAATTTTTCATTTTATTCATTTTTTTGTAATTATAAGAGGTTGATTAATCATTTTTATTGTGGAGGATGTTAATCATGGATATTATCATCTTCATTATTTTAATTTTAGAGAAATAAATGAGACAGTTTTATTAAAATTTCATTAAGTAGTATATGAAACAAATTTCAAAACCATATATAAAACAACTTCATCAAAAAAAGTATTATATGAAACAATTTTACAAGATTAAACAATTTCACAAGATTAAACAATTTCATGAAAAAGTTTCATAAGATTAAGACGGATGAGAGTAGTTTTTACGGTTTCTACAAATTGAAGTGGTTTTCATTTGAGCGCTCCTATATATATATATATATATATAGAGAGAGAGAGAGAGAGAGAGACAGAGAGACAGAGAGGAGCGTTCAAATGAAAACCGCCTCCATTTGTGTAAACCGTGTAAACCAATCTCATCCATCCATTTTCTTGATCAATGGTCAAGATTAGTTTACTTTATTTTAGGAAAATAAAAAAATATATATTAAAAATTTATTTTTATATCAGCAATAAGGGCAAAATGGTAAACAAAAATACATATTATGTAACATCCTATTGAATGACATTATTCTTTATTTTAGGAAATTAAAATTTTCTATTTGTTAAGAAATAATTTCGCTAATGCAGCAGCCTTTTTATTCCTTATCCTGAAATTGTTTCAATGTTCTTCACACACTCATGTAAATATGCACCCTATTCATTATGAAATTATTTCAAGACGCACCGTTTTCATCATAAATCAATTTCAGCATGTAATTATTTCATGACAAACCGCATACATTATGCACCTGTTTCATTTTGCATTTCACCTACTAAATGGATCAACTACACCATCACTGAAACGGGGTTCACCATCAAACCAGTTCACTATTCATTGTTCAATTACGCCATGAACTAGTTTCAACTTCATGAAACTTGTTTCATGTACATAGATTAGTTTATTTCGCTCCTGATTTGATGAATTCATTCATTTAATCCTTACAATCTTAAACATTCTGTAGCAGATTACAATCTTCAAGATTATGGAGCAGGTTCATCATGTACCCGTTTCATCATGCAATTATTTCATGACGAACAAAATACATTATGCACTCGTTTCACTACTCTTGGTTCAATTACGCCATGAACCAGTTTCATCTTCATGAAACCTATTTCATATACATTAATTTTCTTATTTTACCCGTGATTTGATGAATTCATTCCTTTAACCCTTACAATCTTCAAGATTCTGAAGCAAATTATAATCTTCAAGATTCTGTAACAGATTCATCATGTACCCGTTTTATCATGAAATTATTTCATGACAAACCAAATACATTATGCACCCGTTTCATTTTCCATTTCGCCTACTAAATGGATCAACTACACCATCAATGAAACGGGTTCACCATGAAAATGTTTCACTACTCATTGTTCAWTTATGACATGAACCAGTTTCACTTTCATGAAACCTGTTTCATTTGTGTTAATTTCTTTTTTCAATCATGATTTGATGAATTCATTACATTATGCCTTACAATCTTCAAAATTCACCAACAGATTCAATAACATCACAATATATTTAGTTCAAATTTTTAAAATTATAATATAATTAAATATTTAAATGTTACCATTTATAAAATTTTCTTCATTACGTTTCTTTAATTAAGATTTATTAATAATTTTCATATTTAATTGAAAATATTGTAAATGACCGAAATACCCTTATTGATTAAATTTAATTAGAAAAAAATAGAATTTTCCTATTGATCGAAATTAGTTTACACGGTTTTTAAAAAATGCACGGTTTTCATTTCAACGTGTATATATATATATATATATATATATATATATATATATATATATATATGGGCAAGGTGAAGAATTGTAGTCAAGAGGACCCCACAACAATAAATTTAATTGTGTTTAGGTTCATCACTCGGACCCATTTCCACCTACATTCAAAGGACTTACCAAAATATGTTTTTAAATCTTGATAACCAATATTATATTACGTATGACATTTCATCTTAAAAATTTTCAACCCCTTATATATATATATATATATATATATATATATATATATATGGATCCATTCAAGAGAGAACTAATTAGTTTGTGTTAACTGTGAGATTCAATATCAACCACAAATCAACGGATAAATTAGGAAATTAATAATTATGGTAGTTTGAGTTAAAATTATAATTAGAGGGCATTTTAGGTATTTTTAAAAAACTCCTCTCTCATCTCTCATCTCTCATCTCTCCGACCTCCAATCTCCGGTCTCCGGTGAACATTAATCCGACAGGTACCAAGTAATCACAAAGATACACAATGTGATACCTATTGTGATATACTGTGATACCATTGTGATACCAACTATGATACCAACTTAAATCTTAAAAACAAAGATACACAATGTGATACTCATTGTAATACACAATGTGATACCCATTGTGATATACTGTGATACCGATTTCACCGGAGGCCGGAGATTGGAGGTCGGAGAGAGAAGTTTTTTAAAAATGCCTAATATGCCCTCTAATTATAACTTTAATTCAAACTACCATAATTATTAGTTTCCTTATTTATCTGTTGATTTGTGGTTGAGATTGGACCTCACAGTTATCACAAACTATTCAGTTCTCATTTGATTAGGCCCCTATATATATATATACACACACACACATTTATTTATCTGTGTGAGACTTAATCATTTAAGAACTCTAAATTTTTTATGATTCATAAAAACTTCTACCTTACGTTTATGTTTAACATGATTTTTTTTCATCTAAGTATAATATTTAATGTATTAATTAATATTTATTTGTTTTACAATGTGTATTCGTT